AACACTTGGAAGAGCAACTGCAAGCGGGCAGTGGTTGAGCACTGTCTCGCCTAGTTCACAGCTACTGGGCACAGCCTTTGGGTTTAACGTGATTTCCCAAGGAGTCTATGCACAGGATTTATGCCTTCAAGGTTCATTACTGTAGTTGGTATAGATACCACCGAGCACATACTGGCCTGAGAGGATCTTCTGCACTCCCAGACTGTATATATCTATCCCTCACGTATTAAAATGACAGTGTCAGATTTTGTTGATATGTTTTCTCCTTGTACCAGGGTTCCTGGGAGCCAGTGGTGATGGCCCATGCAACGTAATGGGACAGGGGCCTCAATCTCAAATTTGTGGGTTCAGATGCTGACTGTGCATCTGGACACAGGTTTACCCAGTTCCCCAGGCAGATGTGCAACTGAATAAGATGTAATCAGTAGGTCTACAATGTGCTTAATATTAGGCACATGCTTTGATATCTTGCTGAATCAGGAACACAGCAACAATGAGCAATCAACACGTTAGGTGACATGTCATCTACATACAGCACAAGTCCCACTGGTGTTATGAAACTGATGCATCATGAATGTAGTAGCCTAAGTATGGCTCCAATAAGCAACACCAGATGATAATAAAATAGACAAGGTCCCGTTCAACTGAAATATCTCAAGATGCTTTTAAGAGAGGATATTAGACCCTAACTCCAGTTTAATAACTGAAATAGGGTTTGAAGCAATGTTTCTCCCCAGAAGATGACCAAAGTGTTAGGAAGGCTCTGACGGAGATGCAGATGAAGGAGGCAGAAAAAGAAAGGGACATATTGATCCTTTCTGTTGGGATCACCCAAAGAAAATTAGAAAAGCAGTGAGGGGAAGAGTTGGTGGGAAGGATGAGGTGAGAAAGAGATAGATGAGAAACCAAGAGCTAAAAAGATGCTGGACAACCGAAGGACCCTGACCTAAGCCCCCATATGGTCTAACCCGCAGAATTAAACATGCGTCACTGAACACAGGACATGAAAATTGTCCAGATCTGCATGTCTTCTGTATTAGGAAAAGAGCACTATTGTTTACAAACCCCTGTAAAGCATGTACCTGTAGGAAAGCCTCTAAATCCCACCTGTGTCCAAACAGCTGAATTGCAAGCCCAGAGCTCTAGAAGGCATTCTTAGCATCCTGGGGAGTTGGCAGACAGCACTGTTCTAGTGTATGTAGTGCAAGTAGGATGGATGCATAGTCCCATTTCAGTGAGAGACAAAGTGCCCACACTGAGGAAGGGAGCCAGAGGATCCAAGGAAGGGAGAGTGCAGCTGGGTTTCACTAAGGAAAGCTGAAGAACTTCTAGATTGTGAATCCAAACACAGGAGCCTCAGGACTGTTTGACAGAAGGAGCTCAAACAAGGCTGGACATCAGATGGTGCACACAAAACAAGTGCTTCCAGTCAGTCTTCCTGTGCATACCACCTCTATAAGCGGTCCTCGCTCCAGCCTTTGAGCTACTTCTGTAGAGGATGGAAAGACTCACAGAATCACAGAATGGTTTGGGTTGGAAGGGACCTTTAAAGGTCATCTAGTCCAACCCCCCTGCAATGAGCAGGGACATCTACAAGTAGATCAGGTTGCTCAGAGCCCCATCCAACCTGACCTGGAATGTTTCCAGGGATGGGGCATCTACCACCTCTCTGGGCAACCTGTGCCAGTGTTTCACCATCCTTATTGTCAGTATTAGGATACTGAGGCATAACTAACCTTTCAGGTGAGTGCATCTCTCTCCCCTCCGCTGACAGTTAACGGACAATGATACAGGAGTCACACTACGGAACACACATCTTTCATCAGCTCTGACTCCATCTAGGAAGAGAAAGTTTGAGTGAAGCTGAAATTTCAGTTCCAGGGTCAAATACATTCTTTCAGAGACAGAACGCAGCATCCAGAGATATGTTATCATTTCCAGTAAAAACACACAAGGACACTATCAAGAATTATAGAAAGAAGAGACAGGTAGAGGTGTAAATAACACAAGATAAGTATTTATTCACACTGTTAGATTTACACAACTTATTCTTCTCTGATGCATACACATATTGGATCAATGTCTGCTCTCAGCAATGGTGATTTATATTAGGAATGATTTAATTCAACCAAGTGGGATCATATTAGATTTATATCTGTGTAACAACACACATTTTGGCTCATCATGTTCAAAATAATAGCTGGGTGGTTCAGAGGAATATAAGCAAGTTTTCAGTTCCAGAAAAGGAGAGCAGATCAGAAAGTATCAGCTGTTTTTCAGGCACTGCAAGGACCAATCCTGACAGCAGTCCCAGTGAAAGCTTCCATTAAAAAGGAAACCAGAAGTGATGCAGTATTCCCATTTCAAGTACCTCACCCTCACCCTTCTCCAAATTACACTGACACTTACATATTCTCCTTCTGGACAAGTCACAAATGATCCCCAGAAGGAAGAATTTCTTGTGTTTCATCCTCTCACCAAGACAAGTAGAAGTGTGAGAAAATTGGGAAAGATATCATAAATGCCAAAAGCAACTAAGCATCAAAGTTGACAAGGGACAGAATGGTCTACTATATAATGAACAGATAGACCATTAAGGGTCAGCTCACACATAAGAACTTATATTTATGAGCACATATGGCAGATTTATAATGGCATATTGGAAATATGCAGCTTGCTTTTGTTATAATAAAACCTGTTCCCATTCCAACAGCTTCAGCAGGCTGTGAATCAGGATCCTTTGTAAGTAAAGGGCAGAGGAGTGCTGCATCCCAGCATAGGCTTCACGGAACGATATCCTCGGCTCTCAGAGAACGCTCTCAAAAATAAAGTAGGAAATGATCCGTTGGCTGGGTAAGATGAAGCATCCTGACTGCAACAGCACTTGCTTCACAATATTTTTGTTTCAAATGCAATGTGATCCTTACAAATCCTTCACTGTATTCCTAGCATCTGCAGATTACCTGCTGGAATACTGAATAAAACCCAATTTGGATTTTGCTGCAACAGTGTTGTGTAACACAGTATAGAGACACATGTCGAAAGCAAGCTTTTATGGAGAAGAATAACTGGTTTAATTACTGCTCTCCCAGGATCTTATTTTTCTGTGTACATACCTATGTAGTGACAGAGAATTCAGCCTCATGCCACAAACTGGTTGACCGAGCTCCATCAACGTAATTGCACAACCCAGCTGCTTGGACCCTCTTTCCATCAGTGTCTCGGGCCCAGAACCACCATGCAAGTCTAAGGAGCAGTTTTCTTACTGGACGTTGCATGCTGGAGCTGACAGAGCAGTACATCATTGCAAGTAAATCTTCAGTCAGTCTCAGATTTCCATCATTATGACTGAAGATTTCCACTCTGGCGTTCAAAGCTGTATACAGAGCCACAGCTCAAGACCAAACACTGTTAACTTTGCCACAATACAGATTTTTAGAGATAATACCCTGCATATGTTGGAAATACAGCTATCGTGTTATAGCTGTAGTTCCCTCAAATTAGTAATATATTTAGGATTAATATGTTACAGTCATTTGCAAACATGCCACAAATTGAGTTTTGAGCACTGTCATTCCTACGGAAAACACCAGTCACATCTAAAAGTACAAATGGGCACGGTGCAAAGAGCCAGAATGAGCTATCTGGGCTAGTGCTCCGCAGCACGAGCAGGATGGACCAGGACAGGCATGAAGCGGTGTGCCCACGTTTGGGTGAAGCCTAAGCAAACAAAAATTCTGCAGAGAGGTTGTGCATGTAGATTTAGCAGGTACAGAGCTAACTGGAGCGCCCCTCCCACATCTTGGTATATCCATGTCCGAAAGTATACTATCACCCAATTTAAGAGCTGCTAAATTTAAGAAAAGATTGAGACAGGTTTGAAACATATGGTCCAGGAAATAATATATTAATCATACAGATAAGACATCTCCCTGCTTTACATGAGGTAAATGCGGGTCTCTTTATACAAAAACATTATTCTGAAAGACAGCAGGCTGAATTTTCAGTCAGGAATTCCATGGCTTTAATTGCCTAATAATTAAACTTAATCATTCTAACAAAAAGAAGGAAAAAAACAACCACATAATCAAGCCCAGTCTATTAGCACGAAAAATCTGATCAGAAGAGCACAAAAACTCATGAAAAGTAGTATTAATGACCAGCTGATTGATGCTGGTGGCTCTTTAAGTGTCTGCAAACATTTCAAGTGATTGTGATTACATAAAACAGAACTGTGAAAGCCCAAATTCACAGGCAAGCCCTAGGCAACCCAAAAGTTGACTTATCTCCTTTCTCAAGGACAAAACTTTTTAGCTCTTCATTGCCTTCTTTCATTTCTTGTTCATAGATCTACCAAACTAAAGGCAATGACTCTACCGGAAGCAAGTGGCACTGGGCTCAGGGGAGGAAGAGAATACCTGGAGCACATTTGCTATTCTTACTTTCAGGAAAAAGCATCGCTACTGCTACTTACCATCAAAACAAACAAATACTCAGCAAACAAGCGAACGAGAACAAGCCTGTGAACAAGTCTAAGAGAGAACTACACCTCAAGGGTACATGCCGTGGGTCCAGCGTAAGCCAGGAGGGATTTCATACAGATATACAACTGTTGTTCAATGCTAAAATGGGATTATTCAAGTTGGAACTGAGACCTTCAAACACATGTTTAAATTCAGCCCTCAAGACCCTTTCAAACCCACTGATAGCAATAGGGTATATGAAAGCATAATGCATACATTAGCAGTTTGAAAGGCTTTTTGGAAACAGAGGAGAACTCTAGCATAGTTATAATCTGTGTGTCTCTCTCTCTCTGAAATTAGCTAAAACAGCTGCCCAAATGACTACCAGCCAATTCAGAAAGTGTTCAGCTGTTCCTCCAAAGTAGGGATTGTGGCCTGGGGTTGGACAGAAACAAGCTGGGGTCAAGCAGAGGATGTGCCAAGCATTTCTGCGCACTGTGGTTAATCAAACAGCACACAGTACATTTACAGCTTAGTTTAGACCATAGGCTCCATAGCACGGATGTGGACACTGGGAAGGCAGAACCAGGAGAGAGGCAGCTCCCTGCTACAGTTGTCTTCATGGAATTTGATATTCAGGTAGAAATCGCCTGTGTAGAGAAAGAGAAGTGCTCCAAAGTACACAGAGTCTTTGGTTGGCTTCACCTGGAAAAGAGAATGTGAAAATCAGTATAATTAAACCAGCAACAAAACAAAATAATTGCACTTGGCAATTCAGTAGCTCCTTCAAATGATCTCAAAGTACTCTAGATTCACATCTCAATATTGCCTTCTCACAAAAAGGAGTAAAGATCTTGTCCCTTTCTAGCAATGGTGAAACTGGAGCATAGAAAATTAAATCCTGTATTATTCGGTCATGCAGCAAAGCTGTGGCACAGCTAAAACCAGAATACAGATCCTCAGGAGTCACTGATTCCAGATCAGAGCTGGTTTAAGGTGGAAGCTCCCCAGAGTGTCCTGAATATCTAGGAATGTATTTTCTCAGACTGCATTTATCAACATCTGTATTAAAGGTCTAAATCATGCTCTAAACTCATGTTAAACACATGGTTAAACACCATTTAACAGCTTCTCAATAACTTAATTCATCACCACTTATTATTCAGACACAATCTGATTGCAAATTCTCATCAGGAATTTTAATATTCACTGTCATTGAAATAATTAAATTTAGCAAGAAACGTCACATGAAAAGTAGCCACTTGTCCAAATTAAATACAGAGTTCACACTGTTTCTACATTTATGTATCTCTGTTCATCAAGAAAGCATTTATGATCCATAACTTTACAACAAATAATGTATCTCAGTCCCTCCTTTCAGCAAGACACTTAAGTAATTTCTAACTTTAACAATCCCACAACTGTGCAGCATGTGATAATGTTTGAATTAATATCTGCTTCTACAAGATGTTAAATCCAGTTTCAGGGGGCCTAGAATGGGGTTAAAGTTGCTGCAGATGCAAAACAGAGAATCAGTACAAAGCCATTCCATTGGATGGAATTTATTACAAAAATTGTGAAAAGGCAACTTCATCCTAGCAGAAAAGATCCAATAAAGAGCATCTGATGCTCCTCAGTACTGGTCTTCCCTCAGCCAAGACTATCTTACCAGTTCCCTTCCGCTCTCTGGACCCTGAAACCATCAACTGATCGGGTCATCCCTACTTTCACAGGTAGGCCTATGCCCATGTATTTTCTTTTTCACCTGAATATTCATTGGTAATGGGCCTTTCTTTGGAGATCTCCAAACACCTCAGTGTCCATCATGTTACAGAGTCCATCGCTGATTCCAAATGACAGCATGACACACCACTGCTCCGTCAAGCTGAGACCCAAGCCCAACCACAACAGAAATTCGGGTTTTGGATACAGAAGCACTGAGCTGTCCAGATGTGCTGGACTTGATTTGAAACAGGGGGAGAAAATATTTGCAAGGGACATCACTGGGAACAGAAGGAACATTACCACCTGGAACAACGAATGGATGAGGCTAAAGCTCCGAGACAGATTGTCAGGATTCTTGCCTACTACAAAAAAAATTTCCTAGGACATCAACAACGGGGTATTAACTGGAAAAGTGTCTATGGACACCCTTTGCTGAAGGGCACTTTGCCATTGCACAGGAAGACCAGAAGAAGGATGATGACTAGACCATGGCAGGGAAACGGGGGAGATAAACCACTAGAAAGGGTTTCCAGGAGTGTGGGGCACCACAAGAACATGGCAGAGAGTTGAAAATTGCCTGTCACCGTCTCCAGTGAGGAAGGTTGTCTGTAGCTGGCAGATGTGAGGGGACCGAGCTGTTTCTGATTTCTCTTATTCTAGATTTTTCTGGACCTTCATTGCTGGGTCCCTCAGCCAGCAGACAGACACCCTGTATAGTCCCTTGGGGTATCGGGCTTCTTTGCTGAACCTGCCTAAATGGATGTTCTTGCACAGGGACCTGGCTGTTCACAAGTAGGAACATCACCAGAGCTGGCAGAGCCCAGGCTCCCTTTGGCTTTGGTTCTGAGCACTTTTGCTGACCTACTGCAAACACATATCAGCATCGTATCATCCACGTGAGTGATCAGAGCAGCCACAGCTGTTCTCCTGACCCCCGTCCTTGGCATTTCCACTCCTGGCTGGGTACAAGTTCTTGGCCTCTGGCATTGCGTCTGGACATGCAGAACGACATCAAGCAGTTTCCTCTCTTGCTTCCTTCTCCTCCTGCTGGGGCTGCCTGCCTTGCTTCCACCTCACTGGAACTGATGCGTACTCGTATCCAGAGGAGGATAGAGACAAGCACTAACCCCAGCAATGGGTGGAGGCAAACAGCAAAGAAGCCTCCTCAGGACCCATACATTTTTCAAGCTCCCAGTCCTTTTTTCCTAATCTAGTTGCACCATGAAGAAATGTCTGTAACAACATTGATCAGAGCCCTTGACCAGCAGGAAGGTGGCTGCAGGCACATCGGCATCAACACAGTCTTTTCACTCATTTGAAGTTCTGCCTACTTGTTTGCTTGTTCCTCCTGCCTTTACAGTACGTCTCTGCACCAGTCATCAGTTTCTTCATCATCAGTGAGAAGAGCCAGCGAGGCAGGTAGCGTCCTGTTCTGTCAGTAGCCCACCACCCTGTGTGCAAAACGCACAGACCAGACAACAACGTTCATTGTCTGGGGACTATCCACAGCTGTATGGCCACTTGTACAGCCACTACTTTAATCAACACTTGTGGTTTGGGGAAGAAACAGGGAAGCAAAAGTATCTTGAAACCTTTGCACTGCTGAGACGCAAGTGGCTCTGCAGAAGTTACAAGAAACTTCTTCAGAAATAGCAACTAACTTTGGAAAGTATGGCTGCCTCTTTAGCGGGGCTGCCTACAAACATTCCCAGGAGGCCACAAGCACATCAGCTCAGCAGCAGTCAGGTCAGTAGCAGGCCAGATCCAACCCAACCGGGCTACCACGCATAGGACTGATTCTGAGGTTAAACCACATTTCGGTGTCTCTCTGCACACTAGGCATCCAAGCTCCTAGTACAGTAAGAAGACATCTACTCAATGCAGCCTGTGGAGGAAACATGCACCAGTCTACCTAGCCAGCCGATAGAGTCGGGATACAGTTGCCTAAACATAGGCACCTTGTGACATTTGGGATGACCTAGGGCACTGAGACATCTGCACAGGGCTGGTAAGATCTGCAGGATGATTTACAGGTTTTCTGGAAGTAAGTGGAGGCCAGGTGGGATACCTACAGCACCTAAGTTATGGTAGACGCTTACTTAGGCAACTGAATCTCACTCCTGGTGTCTATGTTAGTGTAAGCCAGGTTCTACCAGCTGCAGACTGTATATCCATTGACTAATGGGAGCTTAGCTGGCCAGCATCCATGGTAACACCTACTCATTCAGAAGTCTTGGTCTGGAACTGAATCCACCCAAATGTCTATAAAGTGGGTGTCCACATCTGAGCCAGCTGTTCAACACAAGGATTCATCTGATCAAATGCAGAATGAGGTAAAATATCCCCTAAACTCCATCAACCCCCCATGACTTGCTCTCCACTGCCTGTGAAGGGAGCTCGGGGTGACTTGTTCAGATGTGTACACAAGTCAGAGGTTCCCCACCATAGCTGACAGTACACGCCACCCCACTGATGGCAATGCATGATCCAGCTAACCGATGAGAAACGTGAAGATCACATACTCGTACCCGATCCAGACCAAACTTCTATTGTCATTCGACCTAGCAGTGCACAGATCTGGTAGTGTCACCACCTAGATATGTGCTTATATGTTGTGCCAGTCTGGGATGCTTTTGAATACATGCTTGCCGAATTGAGTCAGAGTTGAAACAATTTTTGCCAAAGTTCCACCAAATAGTGGAAACCAAAGATGAGAAGCTTCTACGCTGGAAAAAAATGACTGAAGAATCAAAAAAAAAATGCCCACATGACTTCTCTGTTCCACTGAGATAGAAGAAAAATTAAGTTTCTACCTCCATCCTAATCCTTCCCTGATTCAGGCTACTGTGTGGGACCGAGATTGCTTAGAACTAATTACTTCTTATTTATACTGCTGTAGTACTTAGGGAGCTCAGTTGGAGATTAGGGCTAGTGCCAGCTACTGTTCGCTGCCCCAAAGAGTTTACAGTGTGAGTAAAACAGTGCCAAGAAAACTAATTTGTTCCAGATGGGCCACAGAGGACCTGCCAGAAGTGAGCAAATGTTCATCATCGCTTCTGAGCTGATTCAAAATGACCATCTACTAATGAAATTTTCCTCATCTCCCACTACCAATCACTTGAACTAGCACATGATAACGCACGCAGGAAAGAACCTGCTTGTGAATAGTAATGGCAAAAGCAGGAACAACAAGGAAAGATGAATTGCTGGTAGTTACAGGAATTTCCATAGAAGATAATTTTTTTTTTTTTTTTTTTAATTTGGCAAGAAGCAACTCTATCTGATCAACTAATCAGTCAAAAAAAACCATTGGTAAGAACTAAGAATTTTTAATAATATGGCTAAAGCTAAACTTTGGGTTGTGAAGTGAGATAAAAACAAATCAATGCAGTGTGGTTTAATGGGTGGGGCTCCACCATGTCATCTCATGTTTCAAAACCCCGCACTGAACAAGAATGCCTGCTATCTATCTACATGAGAACTGATGAAGTCACTTTTTCTGTTAAATACAGACATAGAAAGGTAAGGCTAACCAAATTATAAGTTGTGCTTAAAAATAAAGATTTTACTTAATTTAAAATGCATGGAAATATCTCAAAATCCTTTAAAATTTTCAGTAAAAGAATTTGCTTTTTGAAGTAGTATATCCCAGCAGAGACTTTGTGACACGAACCCAGACTGCTGCATTGTATTGAAATAAGAGCACAAAAAGGTGAATCGGCACTCATTACGCTACTTCTAAGAGAAGTCATCTAACCCGGACTTCAAGCCACAAGAAAGAGAAATACAAAATTGTATGACTTTTACCCTTTAAACAATTTATATTCATACTGTGAAGCAGCATGTGCATGCTGAAAATTCCTGTATATATCCCCTGTCTCTCAGATAGCAGCAGAAACTGATCTGAAACATTTTAGTTTGGAAACAAAAATAATTGTGATTTGCTGAGCATCAGGCTTAATACGAAACGAACATTCAGGAAAGCAGAGGCGGTTTGGGTTTTGTTTGCTTTTTCCCCAGAGTAATCACATTCAATTGAGCACCAATAATGTAGCTTCTGCATCAGCATGACAACAGACCAAATCTTCAGGGCTTGAGAAGTGTCTTCTCTTGCTGTAATACCTGATGTTCCCACTTGTTCTTGACCACACACTTCTGATACGCCAAATCATACGCTATTTCTCCATCCTTCCTCCCACCCAGTTTGGCAGCACAATAAATCATGTCACCACCTCCTTGCCAGTGTCAGTGTAAAGTCAGCCCAATTAGCTTAAACTGCTGACGAACGTGGGTTTTGCTAAACTGGCCAACTTTGCACGAAAACAAATGTTCACACCATCTCTGCCACTGGGTCTGCTGGGGAAGAAGGGAGCATCTTCCTGCAGAGGAGCAGAAACAAGCAGCTGGGAACCGGTAGCATCTCAAGCTACCTCCATTACACAAGCAAACTAATTGTGTGCCCGTGACCTCAGCTTACAGCTTATAAAAATAACGGGCATGTGTTTAATAGCTTTGACAGAGCAGCACTGAGTTACACCAGCAGGGAACCTGGTCCAGTGTCTCAGGTTTCATTTGTAACAAAAGGAAACTCTGTCTCTTTCATCTCACCCCACCATGAACTTCTTTGGTTTCTTAACCAGTGTCTGTCGGAATTTCCGCCAAACTCAGAGCATGAACACAATTCTGAGTATGTTCGTTCTTCCCTGAAACCTCGAATGCAAAAACCAGGACTTTCTTCTTGTCCCCACAACAGGTGCGGCTTCCTGAAATCTTTCTTCCATTGCTGAATTAGTTATTACAGGGGATGAAAGGGCCTGTGACAGCATTAGATGCACTGTTTGAAGAGATGTCTTCCATGATGAGGGCTATATGTCTCGAAGAAATATGACTAAGTATTTTCTCTTGGAGTCTGTGTAGGACAAGCATCAACACTACATACTGTGAAACATAACGCTTCTTGTCTAAGAGTCGACATTTTCTTCGTTTCACCCTTTTGGATGGAAAGGAGGACAAATAGTAGAAAACAACTCTATTTTTAACTTATCAGGGACTGTGTTTACAGGAGAAATGTCACAATACTGAACAACGGGGCAGATGCGGGGACCGTAACGTATGAGAAGGCTGCCTGGGCGGGCACAAGCGATGTGACCTCCTGACTTCTTGCCCCGTAGGAGACTCAATCAGATGGTAAGAATACATCACGCTGACATCTCCCTTTTCCCTCATTAGCCTGGAGGGTCAGGCCCTTCAGCAGCTGGGCATCCACATACTGCCACTCTGATTAAAAAATCCACATTGTCAGAAAGAGAGTCAAAGAAAGCCATCTCTTGATTATTTCTGTTGACATATTTAAATTATTCAGCTAAGAATATAGTTAGCCCCTATTAAAATTCAAGCTGATGGTGTATTCCATGCTCATTAACTTTTTGAAATATTTTCTTCCCATGATGCGTAATTGAAAAATATGCATGGTGACTATCCCTGTGGTTAACCTTTAACTTCTTTCTCACTAAGGTTCACTTATATATTCAGTTTTGACAGGTACATTTTACTAGCGATCCGAAGAGCTGACCTAAGCAAAGGTCCTAAGCATTATCCCAAACACTCGTGCTCTTCTTCATGTTTATTTTATAAGTTACCAGAAATACTGCTTATTCCACTCTGCAGTACTGTCCATATGTTTTTCGCTCCTGTTTTTTTGTTGTGGTCTTTTTTTGGGGAAGGATGTGGGACAGAGTAGTTGTATCTGTATTTTCAGTGTCTTGCCTTAGAAGCAAAAAGCTCCTAGACTTGAATTGTCTAAAGAAAAAATTGAGAGAAAAATAAAAATCTCAATTGTTTTAAAGTGGCTTTTCTAATTCCCTTTTAAACATGTTTGCTATTTTTCTTTATGGTTTTATAAGAATATGCTAAGTGACAAGGAAATGAACCAGCTCATCAGATTGGTCATTGATGTTTAGCATTTTCTTTTTGCAGTGTGCTGCATTTCCTCAGGACCTGACTAAAACTGATTTGCTGAGCTCCTTGGCTCAGCCTGGGGAATATTTCTTATGGACTAAAGAGAAAAAGTTACTTAAAATCTATTACTGCAGGCTGCACTGGATGGCTCTAGCGACTGGCAGTATGGTATTAAACTTTTTATCTAGGTTACCCATTCACATTTAGTCGGATCTAGAGTGACCAAAAGTTACTGTTTCTGTTAGTTTACTAGTGGTTTACATGATAGGAAATTACAGTCTCAAACCACTTCAGAGAGATGATTCTATATCCACAAATCTAGCAGCACCTTTAGCAATAGCTGCTGTAATCCTGGTGCTTTCAAAAAATTAATCTGCCTTAAAATGCACAATTGAATAATGAAGCCCATTTCTCCAAATGCACGTCATCCAGAATTGTGATACATTTGACAGAAAGACTTACCGAATCAATGTAGAAGGTGTTGGATCCCACAAAGGTGATAGCATCTTGCAGGTCATAGTTGTGCACCCCATTTTGGTAATCCTGGTAGGGGGTCACGGTGAGAGCGAAGGGCCCCACACTGTGTTTGCTCCAGTTGGTCAGCTTCACCTGCAACGGGATGGGGTCTCCCACTTTGCAGTTCACCACGATATCACAGTCGCAAAGCTTGCCATCAACAAGGATATCTGCAAACCAAAAAAAAAAAATCCATGTTATGCTGGACTCCTGCTTTAGAAACTGTACTAATCTTGATAGGAAGCTCAACAAGAAAATGTAAACTCAGTGAAACCAGGAGTGCATGACAGTTAACCTTAGGAAAGACAACCCAACGCTGCAGTGTTGTGTAGGGTAAAGTTGCAAAGAAACTACTTGCAAAAACCAGTTCATGATAGTCTGATATCCATGCACAACTGTTGAAAGAGCTATGAAAAAAACTAATCGCGATCTATACGCAGGCACCAGAAGATTTTTTTTAACATCCTCCCTTGAAGACCAAAGCCATAGACAACTTCTCCTGCAAATGAACAGCATTAGGTCAAGGGAGATACAAACGGGAATACAAATGGGAATCATCAATACAAATGGTAGCTAGATAGATCCAGGGCTGGATGCCCATGTTCACATGGTCACAGCCTGAATAAATCATCCTGTATGCAGGTGACCTGTTGGAGCAGGACAGACACGGCCAGAATTTGCAATGTAATACATCTATTAAAGTCCAGATTATAAGGAAAAAGGGGATTTTGAAATTATACAGCAGTACTATGAGCTTGTTCACTGTTTGCGCTTTAATTGATTCTGGGATTTCTATTTTTAACTTTCTACTTTTCTTTCCCTTAGTGGGATAGCAGAAAATATAAAGCCTCTAAATTGGTTACTGCTGGGACAATGACAGCTGGAGTAATGTGTCCACTAACCTTGCCCATTTGCTTATACAGAACCAAAATGTTTCATTACCAGCACACTATGAAATTGCTAGTCCAATTCCCTGCTCTGAAAGCGTTCCCAGTTGTGCAGTATTACTGTGTTTTTCAGATGAGGGTTATCTCCGATGGACTATTAATACATGAACATAGTTCTATTTTACTATGGGTTCATGTTCTGAGATAAGAGAAAGCCTTGGGCACATGTAAGAAAGCATCCTCTGTGTGAATACCTATCCCCACAATCTCATATGCCCATGAGGCATTTCGATCACTCCAGCTCCTCCTCAGTTGCTTGCCTTATGACATACAGCATATTATTCTTCTGCCAACAGCACTGGATTTACATTAGTAATATCTCCTCCTCAAGAAAAGACACTATTTTTATGCTTCAGGAGCTTTCACAGAAAAAAAATTTTACACCAATTTTTTATTTTATTTTACTTATTTTTGTTTTGTTGCCTTTGACAAAAAACTACTAAATGATGCATGTTCTCGTGATGCCCTTTAGCCTGGCAAACTGAACAAGCCTCAGCACAGCATTCGGAAAAAAAAGAAAGCTAATACCAAAGAAGAAAGAAATTCAGAAACGATCATTTATTCCAGAGTTCAGATCAGCAAAGCTGAACCACCCAGATGAAAACCCCTCCTTGACCAAAGCTGACCAAATGCAGCGGCAAGTCCCAGGTACAAGAGGCTTGGCAGAGTGAGCACAAAGGAACCCAACAGTGCTCAAGCTGCAGCTATCCAAAATCCATGCTGGTGTCCCAGTTGGAACATCCCCATGCCAAAACCTCCCTTTCCAAAGGAGATGCACTGGTGAGGCCACACCTGGAGTGCTGGGTCCAATTCTGGGCTCCTCAGTACAAGAGAGACATGGACATAGTGGAGAGAGTCTAGTGCAGGGTCACAAAGAGGATTAAGGACCTGGAGCATCTCTCCTATGACGAAAGGCTGAGAGAGCTGGAACTGTTCAGCCTGGAGAAGAGAAGGCTCAGGGGGATATTATCAATGTATAGAAGTACCTGAAGGGAGGGTGCAAAGAGGAAGAAGTGAGGCTCTTCTCAGTGATGCCCAGTGCCAGGACCAGAGGCAATGGGCACAAACTGAAACACAGGAAGTTGGCTCTGAACATCAGGAACCACTTTTTTTACTGTGAGGGTGACAGGTTGCTTAGGGAGGTTGTGGAGTCTCCATCCTTGGAGATACTCAAAAGCAGACTGGACACAGTCCTGGGCAACTGGCTCTAGGTGGCCCTGCTTGTGTAAGGGGTTGGACCAGGTGACCTTCAGAGGCCCCTTCCCACTTCAACCATTTGTCATTCTGTGCAAGGAAGTTATAATCATCCTTGCGTTACGGGAAAGCACTACAAAACATGTTTGGTGTTGGATTTCTTTTGCAATAGCACACTCTAGCATTATGGGTTCTCCTGCTCAACATGATCAAAATGCTTCTTGCAGGATTGCCCTAAGTTCATGAAGGTGAAGTGGTGGTTATGATGGGATTAACTGGCCTGAATTTTTCAAAACACAAAAATATGTCTCTGTGTGTGTATGTGTCTAATCTTTATACTTCCCACTCTCCTGCCACAGAAGTGAAGTCCAGTTGCTTCATTTCAAAGAAATACATCTATGTCAGTTCATGACTTTATACCAGTTTATGTTTTCAAGCTTCTCTGTGCAAGGTAAGTGCTGTCATGTGAAAAAAAATATTTTTTTTTCTGGTTCCTCCAACCAGCAGGTCTTACAGCTGTGAGAATGGTTAGGTCCCCAGATCAGCATGAACTTTCAGTCAGTAAGCTAAACAGGTGAAGAAACTGATGAATGTTTTCAAGCTGCTGATCCACTTGCCTTTTAGCTTTAAAATTCGATGCTCTGCTGTAGGAATTGTAAATGAACTCTTTGCCCTCTGTCTCCACCTTTGTATGTAATAATAGCTCAGAGCATTGCTTCCCAATATCTTCATGTGAAAATAGAAAATCCAAAAAAAAAGGGAAGCAACTAAGCTTGGCTCAACCAGATTAATTTTCTTTTGTATTCCTAAAAAAAAATTCATTTAAGATTGATTTAAGATTGTGTGTGCGCACACGTGCTTGTGTACTTATTGAGAGAGTATTTCCTTCCCTCCCAGCACACCCTTCCCTCCTGCAGTACTGAAGTCAAGGATCTCAATGAGATGTCAGATGAGAAAACACACATGGCTGGCGTGCAAAATACTATGGAAAGGAGTGTTTAAAAACAGTCCCCTTTCATCAGAGAGAACAGCTTGGTTTGACAGGCAGTTTTACTCCCTTTCTGACACAGAAAACATCTCACGGACCGTACGGATTTGCTTTAATATTTTCATCCATGAACAGAGGAAAAGCCATGTGTACAGGGTCCCGTTTCTGCAGATTCAGCTCACTCACACAGATGGCATCTAAAAGCTGGGACTGCTCACACCACTGCTGTGAGAGTGAATCATTATTGGCTTCAGTACACAGTAGCTCTGATTCAGAAGTTACAGTCGCGAGCACAGAAGACAGTGGTGGCCGTATCTCCATTTCCAAAGATTCAGATACAAGGGAAACAGCAGAAAATTAGAAGGACCAAGTTAAACGCAAACAGTATATGTAAGTTACATTAAAAAGGTAGAAGTATAAACTCTGGCTGTCAAGGGCAAAAAAAAGCATAAAGGGCTAGCAATCTCCTTCTAATTGAAAGTTAAATCCTTTATTTAAGTACTTCAATAAGCAAATAGAATGCTGCTTTTTTATCCCCCCCCCCATCTCTACTTTTCTGATCACTTACCTACACATGTCCACTGTGATCATATCCTTGTGTGCCAACATTGCTCTGCAATGCTTCATAGCCACAAAAAAAGGAAAGACACAGTGTCTACCCCGCACCCACGAACAGGCACGGGACCACGCTGAGGAAGTGCACGATATTTTATTTCTAGGACCTTGTCTAAGTGATTATTGTACAAGGGAGAAAATGTCCAACACGTTTTGGAAGGCAGAGGATGAGCATGACACAAGCCATTGAGAATCTCAGAATCCTGCAATCACTTAGACTGGGAAAGACCCTTAGGATCATAGCAAGAAGTGGTGAGAAGGGCGACTGGAAAGCCTTGGTTTGTCACTGATGGTGTTAGCTAAGCCTTTTAAGATCTCAAATTCACCTTTTAGTTGGAAAAACTGCTTCATGGCCAGTTAATAGGCGATGCTTATGGACACCACAATGGCTGGGAGACTATTATATAAAAATAATACATCAGATTTCATATAGTGTCTGCCTTTCAGGACCTCACAACTCAAGAACAGGCAATGAATGTTACTAATGGGAAGACAACCACTATTTCACAAGAAAAACGTCATTTACTGTCACCTGCCACGTGCACTTCTGTCTACATCACCCAAAGGAGCAGCTTGGAAATGAATACCGAACATTATTAACCTTTTGTGTTATTTATTCTGCTCATGTTAGCTCATAGTAAGTGGTTCTTGCTACTTTGTCAAGTTCCTGTGCGAGCACTCGCAACTCATTGTCCCACCTCTACATCAAGGGTCCTGAGTCACGGCTAACTGCATTTCCGCACCCAACACCCTGTTTGCCACTGTGAGGGTTTAATTTTGGAAAGCTGCATACAAATACGTGTTTAATCTCAGTGGAAACTCACGTTCCAGCAATGTTTACTCTCCCCACTCAAGCTTGGGTTGATTTTAAAAAACAGGCTGCAGAGGAAGGCAGGGTGTTGGTGCTCATCTTTATAGTGGGGGATGGAGAAATTCCCATTGGATATTTGCTTTTAAACTGGATGTTGAATCCCAAACTGAAGCAGATGTATTGGTCTCTGCCATTCACTGCGGCTAGGAACCTGTCTCGAGACATGGAGCGAATGCCTCACAGAGGCATGGCTTTGAACAAACAAGTGTCAACAAAACTCAAGGCAAGAGATGCCCAAATGAGTAAATGCTTCTCACGTAAGAGGTGAAACTGATCTTCAAGCCCCGCAAAGCAAGCCTTGCTCAGCTGTACTGTGATAGCTAGGGGGATTTTAGTCAATCAACCATTTTTTATTCTGTTACAACTGTTCCAAAACACTAGTTTTACTCATCTCGTTTTGTGAACTGAGAGCGCTGCGCTCTGAGGGGGGGAGAGGAGCAACAACACTGACGTCCATCAGGTACTTCAGTGGAGGAAAGCCAAAGATCAAGAGCCCAAACCAGAGTTGCTGCAGTGAAAGTCTTGCAGAATGATTCAGTTTTTCTGCGCTCACCA